GTGTCCTCTGGGGGTCCTTGGGGGCCCAAGGCCTCAGGCAGGAAGCATCAATGGTTTCTTCAAACCACAGTGCCCCAGGGCACAGGGGCTGGCACCCTGCTTCTGTGGGGCTATCCCCGACTTCCTGACTGTTTTCCTGGGGCAACCATAGCCACTGGAATAGTAACCAGCCTTCCTTTTCCACCCTGGCTGATGACTCTCCCCAGGAGACCCTCCCTGCTGCCTTGGGTGGGCCCAAGACACACAGTCCACCAGGGGTCCCTGGGACGCCGCTCTCCCCAGAGGAGCAGGACGCAGGACGCAGCCTGGCCCCTAGGCGTCCCTCCTCTCCTCACCAGACATGGAGCAGGCCTGCAGCCCCCAGCCTCACCCCTGAGCAAGGGAAGTGAGGAACAAGCCTCCAGGGGAGGGGGAGTCACCCCCAGGTCTCTCCTGGGGCCAGGGCTGGAGACCCAGAACAAGGGATCCCGCCTCCAGGCCAGCCAGGGTGGGTCGTGACTCTCCCACAAGACAAACGTTAAGAGAGCCTGACAGAGGCAAACGCTCTCAGGTCAGCCGCTGGGGCCATGCCTTGGAGATGCCCGTTCTCCGCGGCCCCAGTTCCTTCCCCGGCCTTCCCCTGACACGCAACACAGCAGCCTGGTGTCTTCTGTCATTTCTCCACACGCGTTTCTCTTCTTTCCTATACTGTGTGTTGAAAATGTGTTCCACATCAGGTCTCGTTAGCTTGGCTGTGCTCATCCGTTCAGGGCTGTTTCCCTCTCAGTTGACTTGATAATACCCATGTGTTTTGTGACTCGCCCCCCCCCCTGCTGCTTTCCCCCCCTTTTCAGGTTAAACAGATCCAGCTGGCAGGGCCATGCACCTCCCGCTCGACCGTCCACCCACTCTCCGCCCCCAGCACACCCATGCTCCCCCCGCCTCCCTAGGCACCTCTACCCTAACAGCGGCCCTGCTGTCCCCCTCGTCCGTCCCCGCCTCCACCTCCACACCCACGCAGACCCCACACCTTCCACCACCGCCCCCCTCCACTGCTGGCCACCTCCTCACAGAGGAACGCCTCCCTCACACACACTCACGCTTCCCCTGCAGACACACTCCCTTCCCCCACAGTTCCCAGCGGGTCCCTCTGGCACCACGGCTGGGTGCTCCCCGCTGAACTGCCCTGAGCTCAGGGCCCCTGAGCGGCTCCCCCAGTGGAAGGACCCTGCGTGGCACTGGAGTTCTGCTCCAGGCCGGCGTGTCCTCCACCGAGGAAGGGGCACTGTCACTCAGGAGCCCGAGGCTCCCGTCCCCAGGCCTGCCCACCACCCTCCTGCCCAGGGACGCCTCTGATGAACGGAAGTGTGTGAGGGACTGGCAACTTCATGAGCAGAGGACTAGAAAGCCACTCTTCCCTTTCTTTTTTTGACTGCTCCAAAAATACAACAGACTCCCCCCTGCCCTGCTCCTCCCACAGGAAGCCCCTCCTGTGTGCATCCATTGTCTGGGTGGGGCTGACTTCCCTCTAGACTTGGCTCAGGACCTCTCACAGGTTACACCTACTCCTACCAGACACTTGTTTCCGAAGACCCTTCTCTTGTCTCCCGGGAGAACTGGTCTCGGGTTGGCCTGTTTCCCACCTATCCAAACCTCTCTGAGCCTTCCAGAAGTGGTCTTAGAGGCTTTGGCTTGGTGGCTAGGCTTTTCTCTAAAGGCGCCAGGCGTATTTCCGGACCCCACTGACATTTAGAAAATCTAAACATTCATAAATGTCTGCATGGCCTTTTTAAAATTAGCCATGAGTTGTTAAAGGTCTCTATGATTCCCACAATATTCAGCTCCTCTTTAATTTTTTTCCCTGGAATACAGAGTTACTTTTCATTTCCCATGTTCATTTCTGGAGCAGCTTTGCTCCAAGGGGAAAGAGTCAGCAGTCAACACATGATAATGGGTCTGGGTGTCCTTGCTCATGAGGAAGAGATTTCAAATACCACATCAAGGGCAGGCAAAGAGAAATGTGCTGAACAGCTAACACGGGCGAAGCACTTTACCTATACTATGTAGTTTTAATTTTGCCCTCAGAACACACTGAAAGTGGAGGTATTATTGTTCCCACTTTACAGTTGAAGAAACCGAGGTTCAGAAAGATGAACAGAGCTTGCCTAAGCAGACTTAGCACCTAAATGGCTGAGCTGGGATTTGAATGTCTATGCTCTCTCTACCCAGCATACCAGGTGGCTCCAACTTAAGGGTCTGGGAATAGAGCAGAACAGCAGCCTAAGCTTCAACCAAGAGAAATCCCATGCCTCACATGTAAAGGCGCAGCAAGGGCTATACCAAGGAAGGGGCCCCGCTCTGGCTAGAGCAGAGGACAGCCGTACAGTGAGGACCAGGGAGAAGCTGCCTTCAAATGCCCGCAGGACGCCCAGCGCATTGGCTGTGAGCTGTCAGACTCTCCAGAGGAAGCAGGCACTTCCTCATTTGGGACCCTAGTTGTCCAGCATATTACATGTATTGTTCCCAGCACCGCTTGTTATAAAAGCCGCCGCTTAATGGTTACTGCAGGTGCCAGCCCCTTGGCTAAATTCAGAGCATGCATCCTTCGGCCCTCGCAGCCCTGCGGGGGAGGGTCCATCTTATACAGGTAGGAATTGAGACTCAGCTGCAGAGGAAGTGGCCTAAGGCCATGCTGTTAGGGGGTTTCAAAGCCCAGCTTCAGACCCCGGACCGTCCAGATTCATGACATGATTCAGGGTGGCGCGTTTAATGAAATTTGTGTGTGCCTGATGGCCCTGCATAATTTAAAACTGAAGTTCCCATAGAAATACATTTGAAGTAAGAGTCGTATTTCAAACTTTTCCCACGAAGTGAGATTTTATGAATATTTTTGTTTGCACATATTAGCATAGCACATGCCCCCGCTGTACTGGCACCCACAGCTCCAGCTAGATCCCAAGGATGTGGCTCCTGGGCCAAAGTCCTCCTTATCCCAACCCCCTGGCACTGGGAAGATGCCCTGAAGTTAGCCCAGCCCTGAGCACTTGCAGCTGCTGCTCTGATCCCAGCCAGCGTAAAGGAGACTGTGTCCTATTGTTGCAAATAGAATTTACACAAACAAAAAACAACAAAGCTCACGCTCCTGGACAGCGATTCCTCCCTGCAGGCTGGCAGGCGAGCTGTGGTCCCTCTCACAGTCCCCTTCTTTCCTCTCTCAGTGGAGGTGGGCTAAGAGCACTGAGGCAGAGAGTGTGCCTTCAGAGCAGGGAGGATGGCGGTGGAAAGGACCCAAGACGCCCGCCCATCCCTAACAAGGAGCAGAGTGATTGCCTTTAGAGGCCCGCAGGTCTCCAGCCACTCTCTGTGGTGGCTGCTCTGCGTGATGCAAATGCCCTTGGTATTTGGCCCAGGCTGGGGGAGCCAGCCCCCAGGCTAAGCAGGCCATGGTGTGTGGCGCCTAGCAGGATGCCCTCCCCGAAGCCTGGCCCCAGCACCCCAGGTTCCCTTGCTGATTTCATTAGCCCAGTCTTCATGCTGACGGGGAAGGGCAGGGACCATGGGTCTGGAGCAGGCTTGGCACATGGCTCTCTGAGGTGGCCAGCAACTCCTGACTCTCCTTCAGAGCTGGCCTCAGACCCCTTGTCTAGACCGAGGGGGAGAAAGAGCTTAGACCCCTAAGCTTGGGTCTGTCTTCCTCCTGGGCCTATTTGAAGCAAGACTCAGGCTTAAAGAGTCCAAATAGATCCAAGGCCACAGTGAATTTATGGTAATCATCAGTGATCAGTCTACTGGTGATTACAAGGAAGGTGGGGAAAAGATTCCCAACCCAACAAACATTTCATCATTACACACCACTGTTCCTCCATTCTTTTTCCATTCCAGCTACCCACCTCCCCACTGTAGGTCTCACAGCCTATAAAGCATTCCTGTTTGGCATTCTAAGTGACTCCCCTCTTGGATCTGATCTGCATATATGACTAAAAACAAGCCTGGTATTTAAGGGAACAGGAATCAGTTACCCCTCCGCGCATCCCCGGGTGGCCCGGCTATCCTCAGACATCTTCAACTCCAATACAGCAGACCGAGAATAAGCATTTAGGGACTGGGCCTCTCACTTGCTGCTCCTCACAAAACCACTGCCACATACCATATCCCTTGAAACAAGTACAAATTGATCCCATGCCAATACATTATCATAAAATTGGCTCCAAAGCAGTGATGTTCCCAGGGTGCCAAGTAAATGCAAATACAAAACCACCCTTGGGGCTATTTCCTACCCAGACCACACAAAATTTCCACAGGGGGAAGAAAAATCCCCCTGCCAATGACCACACCATCAAACATTACAGAACATAAAGGAAACACTCCACCATAAACAAGAGCAAGCAGACACAGAATGTGGGAGGATTAGCAATCTCAAAATTTGCGCTAATAAAACAATCCAAAAAGGACTATAAAATAAATACATTTAAAATAGTTGAAGAAACTAAAATGAAAATAGAAATCATAAGGAAATACCAAGAAACCATGAAAATAGGGCAGATAGATTTGAAAAACTATTTGAAAATAATGCTAAAGGATGTACTTCAGGAAAAAGGAAGTTAAATCAACAAGGGTGGGTGAAATGCAAGAAGCAACGGTGAGCAAAGAAACCAGTAAACTTGTGGGTAAATATAAATAAGTACTGAACTATTTATAAATAACAACTGTATTAATAATGACCACTGGGAGGAGGGTAAAGACAGGCAGAGCTAAAATATAGTCAACAATAACATGGAAGACGGGAGAGGATGCTGGGCATCCAAATATCCCAGGATCCCACCAAAAGCACAGGAGGATTGAGTGGGTGTCTCACAAAGTTGGTTGGGGTGCTTCTGGGGCAATGGATACCACTCTGAGCTATGCTGTCCTCTCCCACCGGAAAGTTTCTTCAGCTTTTCTCCCCAGAGCGTATCTGAAAGTCAGAACCTACAGAATCATGTACCCTCATCCCCTTGAAGCAAGAGTGGGAGGCCACTTACCCATGCTGGTCACGGTGTATTGGTAAGGTTCTGAGAGGAAGTGTGGGAGGGTGAGGACAAAGGCCCCCGAAGCCAGGAGGAGACCCCCCATGCCGATCAGCCGCGGACGGTGCACCCGGCTGCCAAAGTAGCTGACAAAGATGATGAGGATGGCGTTGCTGATCTGCAGAGAGAGCAGAGGAGCCAAGTGAGACCAGAGGCTCTGTCCTCACCCACCCACAGAGTGGACCGGACTGTCACAGCAGAGAGGCAAGAAGCTGCCTGGTGTCACCCAAGGGCCCAAGCAGAGCTGTGGTGCCAGCTTTGCCGGGAGGGCCAAGCATGCAGTTTCAGCTTTCCCCTGTTGTCAGAAACCCTTCCCAGCCTCAGCCTTCTAGACCAGACCAAGAGAAGTATCTAGAGACCATGGGAAGCTCAACCATTAGGACCAAAGCTTTTGGGGCCAAATTCAAGAAAGCTTCCTATTCTGGCTGGCTCCTAGGAACAGTACGTGTTCCCTAACTAAACTTCCTAAGGACTCTGAGTTCATAGTCAGAATAACCACCAAGCAACCTTCACTATCTCATTTCATCATGCAACAAGTCGCATTTTTGCAGACGACACAATTAGGGCTCAGAATATTAAGTAACTTGCCATGTCCATGAGGTAAGGAGGTGGCTCAAACAAGGACTGCCTGAGTTTAAAGGGCCTCGCCTTAACTACAGTGGTCTACTGCCCCTTGGAGAAGTGAGTTTCTGCCCCAGCAGCTCTGCTCCTAATCGGCTCTGGCCCTCCCTGGATTGGCTTCCACCTCTGTGAATGAGGGATGAGGACTAAAGCGCCCTAAGTCCCTTCCCGGGTGGAAACACCAGTAACTCATGTTCCTGGTGCTCCCTGGAAAGCGTGCTCTCTGAGCCCCACCCAGAGCCAAAGAGGGGAACCAAAGGCCCCAGCTTGGGGAGCAGGGTCTTAAATGGTAAAAGGGGTGCTGGCAGATCTTCTGACCTCGACTCCATCCAAAGAGATGGTCCTCTGCCCCAGAAGGTGAGTCCACCTGAACCAGAGGAGCCCTGGATGTCAGCACTCATAGCCCCTACTCTGTCCACACCACAGTCTCCTTCCGGCCGTTAAAGCAGGTGTCCCTGTCTTGGGAAATAGGGACCAGAGTCTTGGTATGTGGCTCTTGCCAAGATTGTCGATGACCTCCTCATTGCCAAGTCCGCTGGCCAATTCTCAGTTCTCTTCTCACTTGATCTCTCAGCACCATTTGATTCAGTTGACTGTTTCTGCCTTCCTGAAACACTCCTTTCGCTAAGTTTCCATGACACCATGTTCTCCTAGTTTGCTGCCCCTGGTTGCTCCTTCTCAGTCTTCTTGGCTGGTTCCTCTTTGCCTCTGATCTCTCAACTCTCAGAGCTCAGTCTCCATACCTCTGCTCTTGTCTTGGGAGCTCAGCCAGTCCTATGGCTTTCCTTGTTCTGTATGGGCTTCTGATTCCCACAGGCCCGGCGCATCCCAGAGCTCATTCCTCACCTTCCACCCAAAACCTGGTGCCCCCCTCCCCAGTCCTCCTCCTCTCAGTAGATGGCACCTCATCCTATGAGTGGCTCAAGCAAAACGTCTGCGCATCATCCTCGACTGCCCTTTCACACCGACATCCAACCACCAGCAAATCCCATTGGCCGGGCCCTCAATGGAAGCCAACCACTTCTCACCACCTCCACCACTACCACCTGGTCTCAGCCACCATGGCACCCTTCTGAGCTTTGCCTTCTACCCACCGCCACTCTTGCCTCAGAGCCCTCTATTCTCCTCCTAGCGGCCAGAGTGGTCCTGCTGAAATGTCAGACCGTGTTCCCTCTGCCCAAATCCGATACGGGAACAAAAACAAAGTCAGTCCCAGAGCCTCTGAAGCCCTGAGGAGCCTGTCCCCTTCCCCATCACTGCTCTGACCTGCTCTCCTTCTGTCCCCCCCACTTCCTCCACCCCAGCCACTCTGCCTCTTGCTGCTCTCTGAACACAGGGCCTTGGCACTGGCTGCTCCCTCATCTTACATGTCTGCGGGGGGATCCCTTCTCAACGAGCCCTACTTTAGATCTCTGCTCAGGCTGAACCTTCTCATTAAGGCCTTCTCTGAAAAAGAAGGGGGTCAGGTGGGTGAAATGGGTGAAGGGCGTCAAAAGTACACACTTCCAGTTATAAAATAAACAGGTCCTGGGATGTCACATACAGCATGGCGACTATAGTTAATAACCCTGTACTGTATATTTGAAAGTTGCTAAGAGAATAGATCTTGCAAGTTCTCATCACAAGAAAAAACCGTGAACCATGTGTGGTACTGGTTGTTAGCTAGACACTGTGGTGATCGTTTTGCAATATATACTTATCTCGAACCATTATGTCGTACACCTGGACAGCTAATATAAAGTTAAATATCCATGATATCTTAATTAAAAGGAGTTATTTTAAATATAACTTATATTTGTAATAATTAACAGAAATAAATTATAATATATTAAAATATATTTATAATTTAAATATAATTTAAAGAATAAAGTTATTTAAAATGTAACCACCGTGCCCCTCCACGATTTTATTTTTCTTCATAGCATTTACTCTAATCTGATCCACCATGTTTTATTTATTTCTATAAATAAATGTCATATTTATCAGTAGAATGATATATATGAGCAGAGATTTTTGTCTGTCTGTTCATTCCTGTCTCCCCAGCACCTAGAATGGTGTCTGACACATAGCTGGTGTAAATGGTAGGTTTTTTCAAGAAGAGGACACGATTGCCCAGAGACCCCTCCTGTGTGGCCAAGAGTAAGAATGGTTTATGACACACAGAGAAAGGGGACGTGAAGGTGGGTAAGGAGGCAGCCTAGTCTGATCGGGAAAGACGTGGTTCTAGGACATTCTGAAACCAGCACCTGGAAACAAAGCTTCATCCTTATGCTTCCTAGATTTCATTCCCTTTTTGTTTCCCCATCATTTTGCATGAAATGATTGTAAATGTCAGAGCATATCAGCTAAGCTAACTGAAGCTGACTTGAAAAGGTCTGGGAGAGGGATGGGAGAGGGCCCCGAAGGGACCCAGGGAGGAAGGATTGGGGGGTGTCCCACCCCATCCACCTGGAGCGGCCCTTCCTGTGCTCCCCCCAGGGCCTGGGCTGGCTTCTAGGAGGGAAGCTGGGCCTCTACAGCTGTTATGGCTGATGCTGGCTTAAGACCTTGGTTCCCAAACTTTCCTTCAGCTGTGGCTTTCCTTTGAAAAAAATTATTTTCCCTAATATTAAAAAAAAAGAAGAAGCTGTTCTAGCTGAGGAGAACAGGGCCTCTGCAGCCTGGGCCTCAGCCCCTTGGCCCGGAAATGGCCCCTAAAACAACTCTGTGGACTTCGTGTTAGAGCATCTGGAGGTTATCACACAGCCCATTTGTAACACATCCCTGCCCATGCCTCAAACCAAAGGGGCCCAGGGAAAACTGATGGGGGGCATTAAGGGTGGCTGACTGCATCTGCTCAGCCCTGGCCGTGGGTGGGCCAGGGAAGCCGCTACTTCACCGGGCTGGATGCCCAACGTCTTCCCTGCCAGCCAAGCCCTCCTCCTGCCGCTGGCTTGTTACACCCAGCCCTGGTCTCCTCTTTTCCTCACCCTCTGAACCCCAGCGAGACTGGGTCCAGCGTGAAGGCTCCCGTCTCCTGGAAGCTGGCTGCACACTCCAGGCATCCAGATGGGTTCACCTTCCCCTCCACCAGGCCTGGTTCTTTTCTCACACCCCTCAGGCTTCTGATAGGCAGCCGCCTTGTGGTCTGCGGTGCCTTCAATCCTGCGCTCAAGCAGCTGCCAAATCCTGCCTTTTCTTCCTTTGCAGCACTGCCGGGGTCCTCTTCTCCCCCAGCCTCTCAGGCCTGGCTGTGACAGCCGCCCAGCCATCTGACTTCGGGATACCCTGTCCCTCAACTCAAGTGTCTACCAGGCACCTCTTCCAGAGGGTTCGTCTTCACGAGACTGTGCACCCGGGCCTGGCTCTGCTCAAGAAGCCAGGCCAGTCCCTTACTGCTCACCCCAAAAGCTGGGAGCCTTGAGCTTGAACATGAAGCCCCCTCTGATTTGGCTGTTCTCTGCTCTTCCGGTAAGACCCCTACTTTCTTGCTCAGTCTGTTTCTAAACGCTTAAGTCAGAATCAACGGGATTGTAGAAAGCCCTTTGGCTGAGTTCCTCTCCTCCACACAATCACCCATCCACTCCCCCTCAACACGCACAGATACACACACACACACACACACACAGATACACACACACACACAGATACACACACAGACGCACACAGATACAGAAATACAGACAGACAGACACACGGATACACACACAGTCTCAGGTCACAGATACACACATATAGTCATGCACACAGACACGCACAAATACTGAGACACACAGAGAAACAGATATACACACAGACACACATTTTCCCACTAAGCACACACACAAGATTGTTAGGTTCAAGGAATTAACTTTCTTATGATGTCTGCCTCAAACCATGCCCATAGGCATGTTCTAAAACCTGACTGTTGAAAAGCTCATCTAAGTTTAGAAAAAAGAAAATTTAATGGGTGAATTATTTTCATTTTTTATTGAACTATAACCTGGGGAAATATTTTGCCCCTTATTTTCTTAATCAGTCTCCTGCCACAGACACACGGATACACACACAGTCTCACATGTCCCAGCTAGCTACTCCCTGCCCCTTGAAAAATCCAGTTGTTCCTGGGCCCACATCTTTGTTCCAAGCATGGGAAAAATAAAAATGAAAATTTAACCATCAAAGATCATAGATTCAACTATCATGCAAGCCATAGTGGAAGAGAGGATTAGCCTACACACCAGCTCTGAGATTGATTAGTAGATGTGCCTAGAACACTATGTTGAGAAGGATTCAGAGTCTGGACTCAGCAGAAAAGAAGACTGCAGTTGATTAGTGATGTCTGCCAGGGTCACGGGATAGGACTGTGATGACACAAATGTCAGAGATTTGTTTTTCTTGTGTCCTTTGTGAATGAAGACAACATGTGCCAGAAGCATTATCAAAGTCACAGGCCAACACATAGAAGGGTGCATTCTGTGTGAGTGGTGCCAGGTCCCTGTCCTGTAAGAGAGCACAGCCTATGTGGAGGGGAAGACCCCCGTCACTGGGCATCACCAGGAAGCTCAAGACACAGATGCACAATCAGGTAGACAGAGGCATACGTATGCACGTGTATACACACACACATACATTAAAACACACGGACACAGACACACATCCAGAAAGCAGTGAAGGCATCCACGTGGGCCTGGGGGTTCAGAGGAGGGGGTTTGAGGCCCAGGAGGCCAGCAGGCATGACTGATGGGCCTCAGGGCTGTACGTGTGCAAGTACGTGCACGTCACAGGATGGAGGAACAGTCCATGGGGAGGAGGAGTGCGTGGCGACCGTCAGACGGACCTGGGCTCCCATCCTGGCCGCACTACACACGTGTGTGGCCACTGGGATGGGGGTAGACTTTCTGCTGCCAGCTTCCTGTCTGGAAGACATGACTGTGAAGAGAGCCCTCCTCCAAGGACGGCAGAGGGATCTGGCACAGGCGTGGCGGAGAGGGCTCCTGAGGGGCACTGCCGTGTGGGCCGTGGAGGGCGCAGGAGTCAAGGGGAAAGGGGCGTTTCCAGCAGGGAGCAGGCTGTGGGATGGGGAGACTGGAAGGTGGGGGTTGGGGGACGTTGGAACACTTCCCACCTTCTTTACAGCCCATTCCAGAAGCTGTCTGGGGAGCCCAGACTCTACTGGGTCGGTTGTTGGCCTGAATTTCGCTATGTCAAGGGAAGATCTAATTGCATCTGGGCTCCTGGGAGGGGGAGGCCAAGACCTCCATCCCAGAACAGTGGGCCTTGTGGAAAGAAAAGACAGGAGCCAGGCCCAGGGCCCATCTCCTCACCTGGAGCCGACGATGCTGCAGCCACGATGCAGGGGCTTGCTGCCTCCCCTGCCCCTTTCTCCCTGGCTTCCAGTGACTCCTAGCTGACCCTGCCCTCTGACCTCTCACCCTGGCCTCTTGGCCCACCCTATCTTCCTCTAACTTTGATGTACCATCAGTGAGGGACAGTGTAAACTCCACGAGGCTGGGAGGTCATACACCTCTGACCTTGCCTGGCAGTCAGGGCCATTGAGCAGCTCTGTCTCCTGTTGCCCTCCTAAGAAGGAGCTACCAGCCTGGGGCTGCTTCCCTAGCTGCATGCCTGGGGCTCGTCTTGCCCTGGACCAGGGATGGGCAGAGACCACATAACCTCGTGGATGGTCACAGAACTCAATTAGAGGCACAGAGCTTGGAGGCAGCAGGCCTGCACAGCTGGCACAAGCTGCTGCCCTTGCTGAGCCCTGGTGCCCTCAGCTGTCAGCAGGGAGGAGCAGAGTACCTGCTCGCAGGGCTGCTGTGAGGAGGTCAGGTGCCTCCAGAGACTCTCAGCTCAGCGCCTGGTGCAGGGCAGCCTTGGGAAATGTAGCTGGCTGTCTCCATCCCCCATGGGTCCAACCCCGCCCCCCCCACCCCGTTCTTCTGCTCCTCCCAAGGCCCCTCCCGGATGCTGTGATCAGGGTGGTGCACAAGTGGGGTCTGATGGTCTAGAGCATCCTGCTTACCTCATTCAAGCTGGAAATGAGACCTGAGGAAGAACTGGAGAGGCCAAAGCGCTTCTCAATGGTGGTGAGGCTGCTCTTGAAGTAGGCGCTATACAGGAGCTGGCAGAGCTGCAGCAGGCCATGGCACAGCACGAACACCTGGGGAGGAGACCTGGATGGTGAGGCCTCTGGACAGTGAGCCCTGACCACCCACCTTGGCCCTCCATTCTGGGGCACAGAGGCCCAGCAGCCTGGCCCCGCTCCCCTGTTAGTTGGGAACACTTTCTCCATCAGGTGGTCCTAGGGTGAAATGTCATCATCCTCGGACCAGTTTCACCCACAGCCTTAGTCAACACATGTGAACCATTCCCATCATTCCTGCCATTCTTGTCACATTACCATCAATGGCAGGAAAACCACAGGGTTGAAGAAGCAGCCCTGAGGGAAAGGACTCATGAGCCATGGCCCAGGGCATTCAGCACCTGGAATTGTTCTCTGACAGCTCTGCCCTCCCTCCCGTGGCCTGTGAGGGCTGAGGGCCACATTCGTGTCACTCCCAGGGGCACAAACAAGCCAGGGGTCACACTGCTCCATTCCTCTTGACCTGCCTTCCGTTCTCCTCCCTCCATGAACACCCATCCTCCCAGGCCCACCTCTCATACCCCAGTGAGGCTCCAGGATGGGCTTTCACACTAGCCCATTTGAATGAAAACACTAGCCAAGCTTGTTACCACCTCTTATGCGGGGTATTTGTGACTGTGCCGGCTCCTCTCCTGAGTGGATGATGAGGCCCTGGAGAAGGCATCCCACCCTGCCCCATATGCCTTGTCCTGTGGGTATGAGTAAATGTGACAAGTAAATGTGGTTGATGGGGAGGGTGGAGAGGGCTTGTGGTATCTGGAGTCGGCTGCAGGCTGAGCTCTCCTGGGTCCTCGACTATTGGGCTGAGAGCAGGCTCAGAGCTCAGAGCCCAGAGCCCCACAACCTGAGCCCCCTGGAATTGCCCCTTCTGGAGATTCACTCTTCCTCCAGGGAAGGGTGGGGTGCCATTATGTTTCGTAGTCTGCCAAGGCTCTTCCCTTAATTGAAGGGCTGGCATCTCAGGAGAGCAACTGGGGCTCCACCTTCATTTCCGTTTCCTTGTAAAGCCAAGCCAGCCCCTCCGCAGGGGCCCCGCTCCAGGCTGTGGGATCAGAGCTGACCTCCCCTCTCCTACCTGTCAAGGCAGAGCCTTTGTGAGGCCAGGGTGCAGTCCTAGTTGCCTGCCCGTGCATCCAAATCCAAGGAGGTCATCAGGCCACAAAAGCAGACACGTGTCCGAACCACCGCCCCCCTGACCCCGGAGCCCGCGGGGCCTCCTCACTCCTCATCAGTGGCAGAAGGAAGCCTGTCCACCTGGAGTCAGGGGCAGCCCGCCACCCCTGCCCCCTTAGGGAGGCTCCACTCTGCTTCATTTCATATACTAGAATTCTTAATATTCTGTGATAAAGGTACCCTGGAAAATGATCTAGTCTCTCTTACAAATGGGGAAACAGAAGTCCAGAGAGGGAGAGGGGGAATCCTAGCGCCCCGGAGTTGGGGAAACCAAGGGCCTGCGAGGGTGGGAACTGGCCATGGCTGCTCCATTGTGTGAGAGGCAGGCCCAGAACCAGTCCCCGGCAGGCATCTCAAGTGCCTGGCACTAAGCCCACAGTGCCTGCCACATGCAGGACAGAGGCAATTTGGTCTTGGATGCCTTGCCAGATCCTCTTCTTCTGACCGTCCCCTAAAGGCTGATGCCCCCCCCCAAACTCTGTCTGTAGTCCCCTTCTCTGCACACGGCACCCTTTCTGCACACATTCATTGGAAACCCCATTTGTGGTGCCCACATCTCAGACCCTCCTCCAGAACTTCCCCCAGAGCTTTTACACTCAAGTCCATCTCATTGTGTGCTGGACGTGTCCACGTGGACATTCTCAGACCCCTCAGGCTAATCGCTTCCCAAATAGGGCTCAGGGTCCTCCCCCACAAACCTCTCTAGTTTTTCATTGATTCCCCACCACCTTCACTCAGTTCCCTAAGCCAGAAACCGGGAATCCTCCTGGATGCCTGTTTGTCACTCCCTGGCATTTGGTGCCACTGCTGAGCCCTGTGATTTCACCTTGGCATCTCTTGTATTTGACTGGCCCTTCATCTCCAGATTATGCCTTGCCTCAGGCCCTCTCCCCTCTCCCCTAGATTCCTTCAGATTCCTCTCACAGATCTCCTGCCATCCCCTCAAACCTTCCATCCCACCACTCCAGAAAGAGCTTTATCAAACACCAATGTGAGCAGGTTACTCCCAAATTAATACCTCTCACTGGCTCCCCACTTCCTACAAGATATAAACCAATGCTCATGATTGGTATCCAAGATGCTACAGGTCCTAGACCCTGCCTGCCTCTTTGGCTCCACATCCTGCCGTGGCAGATCAAGTTTCACAAAGATGGCTACACCAATATCTCCTGTCCCACATACACCTCTAACGATGGGACAATGACATTCGTTCATCAAGAAGTGGGCTCTGTACTCCCTCCCTTTCAATATGGGCCAATTTTAGGTATTTGCTTCTAAGGAAGAGAAGGAAGAAGAAGTGATGCTCTGTGACCCCTGGGGCCAAGTCCTGAAAGTGGATAGTGAACCCCCAGCCCTTTCTCTCTTGGGACCCTTAGACCCCAGACATAACACTATAAGGAGGCCCCGTCTTCCCTACTCACGGGGGGTCCACATGGTGGTGTTCCAGCCAACAATTCCAGTTAAAGTTTCAGCCTGCAGCCAGCATCAGCGGCCAGACATGTTACTGAGAGCCTTCAGAGGATTCCAGCCTCCAATGCCAAGTGGAGCAAGAGTGAGCTTCTATAGATGGCAGATCCGTGAGCAAACTAAATGTTGCCATTGATTTAAGCACTAAGTTTAGGGCTGCTTTGTTATGCAGCACTAGAGCTAGAACACCTTGTCCTTCAAACTGCATCAAGGTCACACCACCCCACAGCACACACTCATTGTCTGCATCTTTGCTCACAATATGCACAAAGTCATCTTCCCCGCCTTTGTCTGGATAACCCTTCGGTGGCCCCCTTGCCCAGCACAGGGCTCAGGTACGTGTCAAGTTCAAGGTAGCTTCCGAAAATCCCGGCACCTGATGCTGACTTCTGCGAAGAGGTATCTTGATGCCTTGGCACATGGCTGGCATTTAGGGTGACATCCAGCAGAGGATGAGGGCTGTCATAACAGCCTGGGGGAGAGACAGTGAGGGCTGAACCAATGTCCAGGGCAGTGGGGAGGTGGGCAGGGGCCGATCAGAGGCTCCTGCAGAGGTTGAGTTGACAAGGTTGTCACTGATCCCAGGTGGAAGAAAACGGGCAGTGTTTCCAGCCTGAGGGCCAGGAACGGGGCAAGGCTGTGTGTGAGACGGGGACCCACGAGGAGGAGTGTAGATGGAGAGGGTGGTCAGCGAGTTCAGGTTTGGAACACCCGAGGTTCAGAGCATAAAGCTCAGAAAAGACTGTCTCCCTCTAACCAAATTAGTAATGAATTAACAGGAGTGACTAATCTCTCCCCAGTTCCCTAGCAGTCTCATGAGAGGAAGGTGAAGATAGTGGGGGGAAAATCTGTCTCAGATCTTTTCCTGAAAGATAAGCCTTTGCTTTTTCCAGTAAATACAAAAATCCCTTCAGATATGAGGTGGAAGACTCCACCTAGAGCCAGCGGGTGCCTCCTCATCCCACACCCCCCCACACACCAAAGAGCCAACCACACAGCCAGCTTTCAGCCACTGCGGTCCTGTCAGGTCGGGGTGCCCCAGCAGAAGATGCCAGGTAAAGAGAAAGAAGTGGATGGGTGGTTCCAGCAGAGCTTTCTGGCCTGAGCCGCTCAGAATCACAGCCATCTGGTCCCACCTACTGAGCTTATGTGGACAGGACCCAGGCTGCTGAAACTTACCAAGTACCCACTCCATGGCCAGCATGACATGGAGCAGCAAACACTCGACACCAGGCAGAACACCATGCGTGGACGCAGAACTCCACCCCTCGCGAGAACATGGGGCTTATGAGAATAAGCAGACGGATTGGTGGGAGAAGGAAAGGTGCGCTCGTTGGGTTGCAACCCACCTCCTGCCACCACCATTTAGACAACATAGTGTTGTGGAATTTGATAGTTTGGGTTTGGGAGTCAAACAAGCCGAAGTTCACATCCTGACTGTAAGGAACAGCAAGACCTTCGGCCACGTATTTGACCCTCTGACAGCAGTTTCCGCGCTAGTAAGTGGAAGCTGTGATAATACCTGTTCCCACTGCCTTGTGAGGCTTGCACGAGAGAGTCTGTGTTTAAAGGCCTGGCGCCCTGCCTGGCCCACAGAGAGTGCTCCACATTCTGGGGGGATATGTAATAAGCCCAGGCTTCCTCCACTCCCTCCTCTTGCCCAAATAATTGAACCTTTCTGTTGCTTTCACGTCTCCTGTGGCATGAAAACTCTAGGATAGAATTTCCCACACTGTCTTAGGCAGATCACCACTTGCTTGAGATGCTCCAAGTTGAAAGGATTCCCAGGAGAAAAAAGTTTGGAAAACTTTGCATGCTATAATCCTCCCTTGCAAATATTTACAATTCACATTAGCATATTAAAGGCTCTAAGAAAACCTTGGGTAAAGACCGTCTTAGCTTTGTTTTACCCAACTTTCTCCATAGCTTCTTTAGCCATGTAACCCCCTGCATATATATAAAACAGATTCTAGCATTTTGCAGAATACAGCTTAGGGAAAGATTCCATGTCCCTTTTGAAAGAAGCTTATGGTAGAATCTGGGTCTTGAGATTTCTTCACAAAAGGAAAAGAAAATAAAGATATATTACATGGGCTATATTATCTTTTTAAAAATAGCACACCAGTATTTTCTGTTTCCTCACTCTACTTTTTTCCTTTTTCATAGCACTTATTGCTTCCTAAAATTACATCATGCATTTGACTTCTCACTTACGGACATCTACCCCCACCAGAATGCAGACTTCGCAGAGGAAAAATGATGTGTTTTTAAGATGCCACATACCTGTTGTCTGGAACAATGCCTGGTCCTTAAATGGGGCTCATTCACTGTCAAGTGAATGAATATGTCTTTAAATAGTCTAACTGATGAACCCTCTT